AATCACTGCTAAATTAGATAAACTCACAAACGTTTGAGCGCTTCCTGTTTCTAAGATGATTCACTGCTCTTAATCTATTACCTATCAATACAGATATCGGCAAAGCTACAGGCAGGCAGGGCCCCGACATGTCCTGGAAAGAGTTGAGTGCCATACGCCCTTGAGCCTGGACCCAGCAAATATCAGTTTGCAGCGTTTAGTACACACACATCCTTATCAGGCTTCGGAGACTGCAGATGCCCTCTCGAAGGGAGGGGAGGCGGCCGACGCAGGCACGGTGATGGAGACTGGGAGATGTGTGGGGGTAGAGGACATGCTGCCTGGGGGGGGAGGTGGTTGACGTAGGCACGGTGATGAAGACGGGGGAGATGGTGCGCGTCTCCGCTGTGATTTTGGTGGGCGTCGTTGAGGAGCGGGGTTAAAGGACATGGTGCCAGCCCTGCGTATCGCCTTAGTTTGGTCTTTGAACGCCAGGAAGGAATCGGTGCCAACCCTCTGTATCTCCTTCATGTGTTCAACGATCCCCAGGAGGGTGGGCGAGGGTGAAAGGGTCAACGGAGTATCCTCAAAGGCGTTGACAGGGGGGGGGGGGGGGGTTGACGGGCAGTGGAGACTCCTCCATGTGTCTCCCATAATCAGAACATTCCTCAGGCGGGTGCAGTGATCATTCTTCAGGGTTTTCTGCGTGATGTGTTGTGTCTTTCTCCTGTTTTGATTCCTCTTGTTGCTTGTCCTTGGCAGAGGGAACAGATTGATGACGCAGGCAGTTGAATATGTTGGAGATAAACAATTTCACTCCTGACTTGTTCAGGCAAACTCCATTTGCCTTGAAAAGATGTCTGCAGTCCCATAAAAAGTTAAAATTGTCAATAAAATGAACAGAATGGTCAGTACAGACAGTTGAAAGCCAGGTGTTCAGTGCAAACCATCTGCTGAATCTCTCCACTCCTCTTCTGACTGGCGGTAGAGGGCCACTGATGAACACCTCTGCATTTAGAGAGCTGGCAGTTTCCAACAAACATTTAAAGTCTTCTTTCAGCACTTCTGACTGTTGTTTCACAACATCATTTGTTCCAATGTGCAGTACCACATTCTTCACAGTCGGATGTTCAGCCCCAATATGCAGGATCTTCTCAGCCAAGTCAGAGACCACATCCTTGGGAAAACAGAGTACTTTGGTGTTGTTCTTACTACACAGACCTTTTACATATCTTAAAGCAGAGTCACCCACAATCAGAGTTTCAGGCCCAGTCGTTAGCTTTCCCTCTAGCCTTTTACTTTTGGAGTAGCTATTAGTCCTTACCCTGCTGTGTGAAGAGGACAGGTTATCCAGGTCATCAGATCTCCGGTTCTCGGTTAGCGGAGCGTATCTGTTCTGGATTGGCACACTTGGTGGTTTAGGAGGATTTTTTGTAGTTCTCCCCTTTAGCAGCTGTCCACTGCTGTTTCCTAGTATGAATAGGGGTTGAAGAGGCGCTCTTCCTGGGTGATAACAATGCAGGCCAGCCGGTCGCATCACAGATTGCAGAGCACTGGGCTCTGCCTGTTATCCGTCCTCCCAAATCCCATGGAAATGATTTACTCTTAGGCTTTGCACCCAGAGAGTTCCAAGGAGGACTACCACTTGTAGATGTATTACCCGGTACACAGCCCTCCTGTTCCTTGGAATCCTTGTAGCTGCTAACTAGCTGTGAGTTAGCATACCCTTCTCCATTATTTTGCAACACTGGTAAAGTGGTGTCATTCCCATGACATAGTCCATTCACTTCCACGTTAACTTCCAACCGTTGCATTTTCATTTCCAACACAGCTATCTTCTTCTGTATAAGTTTGTGGAAGTCATCTGTAGAGAACGGAGGCATTTTGCTACCAACTAGCTTAAGCTAAATAGCATGCAGTAGCCTACCAGGCTTTAGCTGTTGCTAGGCCACGCTACTGTAAGACTGAGGTCGTCGTAAAAATGTTGAAATATGGCTGAAACCCTCCGTCTATTTACGAAGATGAACTGTCCCAGTGATAAGTTAATGTCCAGGAGCCCGCTGCTCGAAGTTTTCAGAGAATAAGAATAGGAAAATCAGCATAAAAAGTAAGCAGAGGCAGGAGCAAGCAGAAAGCGTCTGCACTGTAAGAAAGAAGATTGTGCTAGTAACTGAACGAGAGAGTAATGTGAAATGACAGTACAATTGACCAATCATATCTTCCCTCTAAAGGGTGGGTGTTATTATCGCGGACTTTATGACAAGTTCTGCCCGCTGTGAAACTTTTCTTGTTTCCATAAACAACAACTTCCTGTCAATAGCGTTAACTCGCCTTCAAAATAAAAGCAGGCCAAATTACACTTAAGACATACAACTGCAACGAAAAGTAACAAACACAATGCAATATCCTTTTCAATTTCAAAGAATACAAATAGGGTTATTTACAGGTGTTGTTTTGTGGTGGTAGAGGGTCGCTTTCATTGATGCGTTTTGCACCCCGGGCCGTTGTTTTGATATTCCGCTGAATTATACGCTGTGACGTAATAACTCGAGGGAAGGGGTGGGGGTCAGAGGGCCTAGGTATAAAAGTCACGGCTCGCCACTGAATTTGAAAGGCAACGTTAAAAACATTCAGTTGATTATGCTTACTTTTATAAGCTGATACAGATGTTAAAAATAGTGCACAATAATTTGTATTTCTGCTTCCTCCAGAAAAACATGTTTGTGCTCACCTGCTAAGCCCCCACATGTAATTCTCCATGAACCATGTCTTTTTTACCCCCAATATAAATCTTTTGCGAGTTTTCTGCTAGGTACCAGCAGAATACTTAACTTCATTGTACACCCAGAAAAAGATAACTTATTCTCCATTAACCCTTTGAGATAAGTAGCCAAGCAGATTGTTTTGGTTTTAGTACTCCAGAGCTTTGAATCTTGCCCCCTTGGGAACTTGAGGGTTGCCAGTTCAAGTCCCCAAACAGACCATTACGGGGTGTAGACTAGGGGTGTTGAAAATAATCGTTTTCTACGATGCATTGCGATGCAGACGTGGACGATTCGGTCTCGATGCAGTGACGGAAGATAATCGGTTTATAGCGTAGTAACGTTGCTTCCTGATTTTCCGGCCGCGGCTTTACTATAACGTTTTTTTTTTCTGTCACTTTAATATCAAATTCGGTCGGTGACGCAGAGATCAGGGAACAGACGTGACAGCGGCACAGCAACACCAAACACGGAGCAGTCTGCTTTATCCACAACACAACACCACCAGTCCAGAACCAACAGCAGAAGGGCCCGCTCTGAATCACTCCGCGTCGCTCAGAGACACAGGGATTTATGTTTTTCAAAAATAATCGTGTTACAATCATGTCCGGTTTTTGGTGGATTTAATTAAGTCTTGGATTGCAAAGTATGAATGCCCTCTAGCAATTTTCAGACGATATATACGTGTGTAAAGTTTGTGAAGGCAGGAGGAAAAAAGCTTCCGCGATCAACGTCTCCTCTCCGTCCTCCAAACCCCCCCCCCTCCTGAAAATAATGAGTGACAGGCTGATAGTGACCCGATAGAAACTTTATTATTCACTTAATCACTGAGATATAATGAAGCTAACTTAATCTCATACATTCATGGGATTTATGTAACGGTAAGACAGAGAATGTAAGTGTGCACCCACATGCAGTATTTTAGTTGTTATATGCTATTGTAAATACTCCTGTTGTCTGATGTGTTCAGACTCAAGTCCTGTGTGTGATGCCACATTCAGGACATTCAGTGTCCTTTTTTTAACAGAAGACCGTTGCTAGAAGCTGCAGCTAGACTGCAGAAGCATTATTTTTTTGTTTTTGAGGATGGAACAACTTCACACACAGATATAAGGAGGCTAGACCTATACAATTCATTTATTTTGGTTTATAAATGAATGTCAAGACATTTATGTTATTGATTTCTGAAGCACTTTCTAAATAATAAAAAGAGAGTTCATTATGTATTTACTGCATGTATGCATTGATGAAAAATAAGCCATGTGCAGTAATATAGAAAATTGAGGATGCAACGCATTGGTATGAATCGTGATGCATCGGGATATCGAATTGAATCGAATCGATGACAGGATAATCGTAATCGAATCGAATCGTGAGACCAGTGAAGATGCACAGCCCTAGTGTAGACTGGTACTTTGAAAGATCCACTGCTATAACAGTATAATAGTAGCCTGTATAATTGCTGCTCACTGCTCCAAGTACGAGGATGGGTTAAAAGCAGAGGCCAAATTGCTGTGTACTTGTAAAATAAAGAGGGTTTCTTTCGGAACCTCCATTTCCATTAAATATGATTTTTTAAATGTATTTAAACAAACTAGCAAGACAGTCTGGGTGTCCGAATAATTCAAAGTAGATCAAGTAGATGCTGTAAACAGCTTCAAAGGGAACTGTCTTCTGAAGAAAATAGTTCTAAATTGAGTAAAGCAAGCAACCCTTTAAAAAGGTGATAAGGCTCAACAATGTCTCCCTCTATGATCCATCCATCCATCTTCTCCCGCTTATCCGTGGTCGGGTCGCGGGGGTAGCAGTTCCAGCAGAGAGCCCCAAACGTTCCTTTCCCTGGCCACATCAACCAGCTCTGACTGGGGGATCCCAAGGCGCTCCTCCAGGCCAGCGTAGAGATATAATCCCTCCACCTGGTCCTAGGTCTACCCCTTGGTCTCTCCCCAGCTGGACGTGCCTGGAAACACCTCCCTAGGGAGGCGCCCAGGTGGCATCTTTACTAGGTGTCTCTCTCTATGATGTCCATCATAAACATATGCAGATGTAGGCTTTTCAACATGTCAGCGGTCAGTGAAAAATGAAATCAGTGCCACCACAGCCACAGCACAGCTAAGCTCATATTGAGATATTAAAAGATGAATTCTGTTTGAGTAAGGTCTTTTTGCAATTGTTTTCCCTCACCTGTTCGAAAGCCACAGCTCGGACAGATGCCAGGCCCCGCTTCACACTGAAAGACTTTGTGTGTAAGAAACGTACCTGAAGAGTTTCTCCTTGTCAAAGACGGTGTCAGCTGACATGTTGACGGGGATGAGCAGATCAGGGTGGGAGTCTAGATGAACCATCTTTATGTTCTGCAGGGGGAGGTGTCTCGATGCAATGGCACGATAAATATGACGCACCACCTAGTACAGAACCAAGATAGAGTAAAATTAGCAATTTAAAGACATTTGACTCATTAGAATGTCATGATTACATTACATTGCATTTAGCTGACGCTTTTATCCAAAGCGACTTACAATAAGTGCGTTCGACCAACAAAATACAAACTTGAAGAAAACAGAATCATATAAGTACATTCAGGTTTCATAGAGGCAAAAACATTTCAAGTGCTACTCAAACTGGCTTTAGATAAGCCAGCCCTTTATTAGTATATAAGTGCTTTGTTAATAGTTCTATCGCTCAAAGTGGAGTCGAAAGAGATGAGTTTTCAGTCTGCGCCGGAAGGTGTTAAGCTATCTGCTGTCCTGATGTCAATGGGGAGCTCATTCCACCATTTTGGAGCCAGGATAGCAAACCCACGTGTTTTTGCTGATGGGAACTTGGGTCCCCTTCGCAGCGAGGGTGCAGCGAGCCATTTGTTGATGCAGAGCGAGTGCACGTGCTGGGGTGTACGGTTTAACCATGTCCTGGATGTAGGAAGGGTCAGATCCATTCGCAGCATGGTACGCAAGTACCATTGTCTTGAAGTGGATTCTAGCAGTTATCGGAAGCCAGTGAAGGGAGCGGAGGAGCGGAGTGGTGTGGGAAAATTTAGGAAGGTTGAAGACCAGACGAGCCGCTGCATTCTGGATGAGCTAAAGAGGTTGGATGGCACATGCAGGTAGACCAGCCAGGAGGGAGTTGCAGTAGTCTAGGCGTGAGATGACGAGAGCCTGGACCAGAACCTGCGTTGTTTTCTGAGTCAGCTGGGGACGTATCCTCCTGATGTTGTAAAGCGTGTATCTACAGCAGCGGGTTGTAGCAGCGATGTTTGGAGTGAAGGACAGTTTGTTATCTAGGATCACACCCAGATTCCTTGCAGTCTGAGTCGGGAAAACAATAGAGGTGCCGATGTTGATTGTCAGGTCAAGAGTGGGACAATCTTTTCCCGGAAGGAAAAGCAGTTCAGTCTTGTGAAGGTTGAGCTTGAGGTGATGAGCAGACATCCACTGAGAGATGTCAGCTAGATAAGCAGAGATGCGTGCGACGACCTGGGTCTCTGAACGGGGAAAGGACAGAATTAATTGGGTGTCGTCAGCGTAGCAGTGGTATGAAAAACCATGCGGGCTAATGACAGATCCGAGCGAGTTTGTGTACAGGGAGAAGAGGAGGGGACCAAGAACAGAGCCCTGAGGGACCCCTGTAGTTAATTGACAAGGGTCGGACTCAGACCCTCTCCAAGTCACCCTGTAGGTACGGTCTTTGAGGTATGAGGTGAGGAGGGAAAGTGCAGAGCCTGAAGCTCCAAGTTTTTGGAGAGTGCGAAGGAGGATCTGATGATTCACCGTGTCGAATGCAGCAGACAGGTCCAACAGGATGATGACAGAGGAGAGGGATGCTGCTTTGGCAGTGTGCAGTTCCTCAGTGACAGCAATGAGAGCAGTTTCTGTGGAGTGACCTGCCTTGAAACCAGACTGGTGCGGATCCAGAAGGTTGTTCTGATGGAGATAACAGGAGAGTTTGTTAAGACGGCACGTTCAAGTGTTTTAGATAGGAACGGGAGTAGAGAGACAGGCCTGTAGTTTATAACATCAGACGGGTTGAGAGTGGGTTTCTTTAGGAGAGGGTTACTCTTGCCTCCTTAAGGACCTATTTGGAAAGTGACCAGAAGTAGAGAAGTGTTGATTAAATGGGTGAATATACACTGAACAAAAATATAAATGCAACACTTTTGTTTTTGCTCCCATTTTTCATGAGATGAACTCAAAGATCTAAAACATTTTCTATATACACAAAATATCCATTTCTGTCAAATATTGTTCACAAATCTGAAAAATTCTGTGATAGTGAGCACTTCTCCTTTGCCGAGATAATCCATCCCACTCCACAGGTTGTGGCATGTCAAGATGCTGATTAGACAGCATGATTATTGCCACAGGTGTGCCTTAGGCTGGCCACAATAAAAGGCCCACTCTGAAACGTGCAGTTTTTATCACACAGCACAATGCCACAGATGTCGCAAGTTTTGAGCGAGCATGCAATTGGCATGCTGACAGCAGGAATGTCCACCAGAGCTGTTGCCCGTGAATTGAATGTTCATTTCTCTACCATAAGCCGTCTCCAAAGGCGTTTCAGAGAATTTGGCAGTACATCCAACCGGCCTCACAACCGCAGACCACGTGTAACCACACCAGCCCAGGACCCTCCACATCCAGCATGTTCACCTCCAAGATCGTCTGAGAGCAGCCACTCGGACAGCTGCTGCAACAATCGGTTTTTGCATAACCAAAGAATTTCTGCACAAACTGTCAGAACCGTCTCAGGGAAGCTCATCTGCATGCTCGTTGGTCCTCATCGGGGTCTCGACCTGACTCCGGTTCGTCGTCGTGACCGACTTGAGTGGGCAAATGCTCACATTCTATGGCGTCTGGCACGTTGGAGAGGTGTTCTCTTCACGGATGAATCCCGGTTTTCACTGTTCAGGGCAGATGGCAGACAGCGTGTGTGGCGTCGGTGGTGTGAGCGGTTTTTCTGATGTCAATGTTGTGAATCGAGTGGCCCACGGTGGTGGTGGGGTTATGGTATGGGCAGGCGTATGTTATGGACGACGAACACAGGTGCATTTTATTGATGGCATTGTGAATGCACAGAGATACCGTGACGAGATCCTGAGGCCCATTGTTGTGCCATTCATCCACGACCATCACCTCATGTTTTCTAGCATGATAATGCACAGCCCCATGTTGCAAGGATCTGTACACAATTCCTGAATGTACAATGGCTCTTAATGGAGACATGTTGAAAGTGTTTGTAACTTCATGCCCTCAGGAGAAATGTTGCTTAATTTTTTTTTTTTTCTCAACCTAAGAGAGGTTTTCCTACATTTCAAGCATAACATTATGTCCCAGGGGTGTAGGGTTTGGGAATTATGGCAGTTTAAAAAAAAAAAAGTAAGGCGAATTTCAAGCTCTCCTCCACTCTAGCTGTGACATCACGCACTCTAAGCCTTAACGAGCTGCGCAGTACACACTAGGGCTGCAACAAACGCCTAATTTGATTATCGATTAATGAAACGATTAATCGACTATCTGGACTATTATGCCTTGCACAATTTCTCAAACGCTCTTATTAGCCATCAACTTTTAGATTAGCTTGAGGTTGTTTTAGGCATGTGGAAACTAACAATGAAGACAATAAAGATGAATACTTGATTCAAAAATACATATATTATTAATTAACTAAACAAATTATGAACAAAATTAACAAAGCTTTTTATTTAAATAAAATAAAATTTAAATAAAATAAATAATATTTCAAAAGAAAACAAATGAAACAACAATGTTTTAACAAATCGTATAATGTGACTACATAATTGTAAACAGAATAGCTGAAACTTTAAGAAAATAAATAACTCTGTTACCTCTAATCATTAACCCATGTTTGTATAATTGAGTTAACTCTGTGTGTTGCTGCTAGCATACATAACACCTGACGCGGAAAATATATTTGTGGATGGGGCTACAGAGCTACTAGAAAGACAGTCGAAACCGGTGCATTTCTCCGTCTGAATGTGTTGCTAAATGTTTAGACAAATTGCTCGTGTTACCGCCCTTACATCTTAAACTCTTATTGCACTCTTGGCAACGAGCATTGTCCACCTAGAGACGGGTAACATTTAACCACACCTTGGAGTGCTTCTCTCCGCCATCCCCGCCATGTGTTACTGCTTGTAGCAGCCGCGTGTGTGTAAACTGCCCCGCCCCCTCGCACACAGACGGGAGAGAGATCTCGCCTGGATTGGAATGATCGAAAATACACCATAGACGCATTTTGTTGTCTTTTTGCATTTTAGAAACGAGTTGGCGACACTAAGACTGCGAGATAATGTTTATGTAGCAATAATACATATGACATATATTTTTTAAATGTCTCCAGTACCGATAAAAAGACCGATAACGTTGGAGCTTAACGGCGCGTAAAACACACATGATGACGTCACCAACGAATCGACGACTGAATTAGTTAGCAACTAATTTGGTCATCGATTAAGTCGATTAGTGGTTGCACCCCTAATACACACTAATGTTAAAATCTGAAGAAGGCCTCTTTACCAAGCTCCAAACTAAGTTAAATATCTCATAAAGTGTAAAAGATTACAAAAATCTGAAAAAGATTTTAATAGCTGAATGTCTTGTGATCATTTTAAAGTTGGAATGAAAACTCTAGCTCAAAGTATGTGGAAGGAGTAGCATTTGGTGCAAGGTTGTAGGTAAAGAGGATTTGAACAGTGGCAGCTGGTGGAAAATATTTTTGGTGGGGCTGTTGATATAGTGAGTAAACATTTTTTTTTTGGGAGAAATTACCACTTAAATTAGGACTTCTGGTGATGTAATGGTGCGTTTCCAGTGCAACGCGGAGCTTCGCTTAATGCTGCGTTCAGACCGGACGCGATGCGAATATTCGCTTCGCTCTAAACGCTCCTATCGCATCGCTCTAGTCGCTCGAGTTTCACCGCGGCTGCCAGCTGTGTTTACTCGCATCATTCAAAACAAGACGCGCTGGCTCGGGAGCTACAACTACAACAAAAATGAACATATTTTACCGTGATTAAATTGTAATACACGTTTCTAAATGATGCCGACGTAACAACATACTGATATCGGTTAGTAAAACCATGAATTAATACTTTGACAAGTCTGCAGACAGATGGCAGGCGAAAAACCTTTTAGAATGCTTGTTTTCTGAATGGAGCTTGGCTAAGCTAACGTTATATATGTTCCGACCGTCCACACTCACAACCAACGGGCCTATACAGACATAAATAAACCAGCGACTGTATTCTCCATGACACAGACAGTCTGTGGTTTGTACTTGTTTTAACTTTTGTCTAGTTTCTGACAGATCGTATCTGTCCCCGGCTGTTTGAAGAGCAAGCATGGGATACAAAGATAGCATTTACCTGTTTGCATCCAGCTAGCCATGGCCTTTCTGGTGTACCAGCTACGTGAGAAGCCTCGTTGATACGTTTTGTCTTTTTTCACGAGCTTGCTGCGATATATACAAATCGGGTTGGTCCGGTCCAAGGTCTTTAAGTATCAATTTATCTCCCAAACTTCTCCTTTCGAAAAGAATTGGAGAGTAGCTCTTGCACGGAATTGGGTGCGGACCGAGGTCCGGCGACCTCCACCTGCACACCCATTCTCATCCAACTACTGCGTCACCCTTGTTCACTCACGAGTCTAAAAAACAACTCACGTCAACGCACGTAAGCAACGTGGCGCCAACGTGAGCGCCCTCGTGACCAAAATATCTTGACGGCGCTGATTGGCTGAAATTATGTTTCGGCGGCACAGTTTACTATTGAGACTTTTGCAACGTGCTGGTTGCTGCTGTTTGGCTCGGGGGCTCCGCCTGGTAATGATAAACTAATGCCATGGGCAAGGCCAGGCAGGAAACATGTGACTTATCAGTAACTTTAGACATCGTAACACAATTTTAAACGAGATTTTATTGTAGATTATACATTTTACTGATACCAATTGTATGATATTTACCTTGTTCATTAAAAATAAAAAAATATATTTTTTAAATATATATTTTTTTAATTTAATATATTTTTTTGTATGTGGGAAGAGGTGGGGCGGCGCCCCTAGCGCCCCTATTGGCCGGCCGCCACTGGATTTGAAGGTTCCTCCCATTGAGTTCCATGTTAAAAAAGAGATTTTAAAAATAACTTATTTAGTGTGAAGTAGGGCTGTACCCGAATATCCGTTCGTTGGAGTACTATTCGGGTTTCAATTTCGTTATTCGTTTTTTATTTATTGAAATCTCCAATATCAACGTAAGAGCTTGTGCCTCTTCGGGGTGCTAACACTTAACCATAACATTATCGTTTACTTTCTCCGTCTTTATATGTAGATATGACGTCACGTTGTTTCCGTAGCAACAACAACTCCCTGTCAACTGGCTAACAGTCCTTCAAAAATAAAAGCATGTCCATCCAAAATAGAAAGCCAAGCCAAATTACACTTAAGACATATACAACTGCAACGAAAGTAACACACACACAATACAATATCCTTTTCAATTTCAAAGAACACAAATTGGGTTATATACATTAACAAATAACTATAAAACAACAATACTGTAGAATAACAAAAATAATGCCGTGAATAAACCGAAATACACGTGTGTGTGTGTGTACCCCGCGCGGAACGAATATTCGCTGCTGATTACTACCGAATATCCGGAGCCCGAAAAATGGTATTCGGGACAGCCCTAGTGTGAAGACTGCCAATATGAAGGTAAACCACACAGAAAACACACATGTGAATACATTTTTACAAAATCTTAATTAAGTAAAATTACAAAAGTATTGGCATCAAAATATACTTAAAGTACCAAAAGTAGGCCTACTTGATGCATTAATGTGTTAATCATAGCTAGGTACAGGTGGAGCTAATTGTATTACTGTATACTACTAGTGAATATCTTAACCTATAATTATATATCATAGTTTATGTATTACTTTATTTATGTTTTGACTTATAATCTGGATATGTAAAGTTAGAAGTAACTGATTTTGTTAGATTGATGTAGTAAAAAGAGTAACAAGTCCAATATTGACTTCCAAAATGTAATTTAGTGGAAATATAAAGTAGCATGGAATGGAAATAAAAGTACCCCCAAATCGTACATAAGTAATACTTGAGTAAATGTACATCACATTACACCACTGGCTGTCACTAATAAACCAATAAGTGGTGAATTAGGCAATTACAGCTAGCTAACGTTAGCAACACACATTATGTAATGTTGCGGAGTTCTCCAGAGACCCCTCAGTGTGTCAGTATAAAGGGCCGGCTTACATCGTGGTGGTCCTCCACCACCCACACCGGCAGTTCCGTGTAGAGCCTCTTCAGCGGGAATCGGCTCATCTTCTCCGCTCCGTCAGATAACCGTACACTATCCCTTCACGAGCCGTTAGCTCACTGACCGCACGTTCTCACACAGCCTCCCACGCGCACAGTCTGAGCACGTTCCTTCAGACAGAAACAGCTGAAGCATTCACTCCTGCCTTTTAAACTGGCTGCTCGCATGAGTGAACCACCGGAAATGACACCATGCATTGTTTTCATGTCCGTGTGGAAACCAAAATCATGATAAAATAAAGGTTCCTAGTGTGGGGTATTAAAACTGAAGGAAAAGTGTGGAGATACAATTGTAAGTGAATAATTACATTAGATTAATTGTTAAGAAAGCAGAAGTCGTATACAATATGAATCTAAAAAAATCCCTTTTGTCAATACTATATGTTAGCAGATTTAGACTACTTTTGTCTATCTAGTATCTACAGCAGAAAGGTGACTATTCTCACAGTTCAAGTTTAGCCATTCATTTCGGCGTTGTTCATTCAATGCACACAGGCAGTGGCGGCTCCAGAGTATTTTTGTTGGGTAATCTATGGCAGGGTTGCCAACTTTGGGTACCTGGCTGGAGTGAGATTTTGATATCATGGGTTTAATTACACATATACGCACGAAATGACTGCTATCGTGTCAGCAGTGGGACCTTAGCATATCAATCAATCAATCAATCAATCAACAACTTTATTAATCCCGCAAGGGGCAATTGGTTATGAGCTGCAGTTTATGTCATGTACACAGGCAGGAACATACAGGAGGAAAACACATAGATACACCCGGGAGCGCAGATGTGGATAATTCCAATTTACACTATAAATAGTTCATAGCATCACAATAATAAATAAATAAATAATCAAGTTAAAAGCCTTTCAAGAATTTAAAAGTTTGAGTGCAGAAGGGATGAATGATTTGGAAAAGCGATTAGTCCTTTGATCAGGTAGAGCATATCTACGCCCTGATGGCAACAGACGCAATTCATGTGAAAGTACATGACCTGGGGAGGCCAGAATGCTCTCTGCTTTCTGCAGAATCTGTTGGTTACAGAAGGAATTTAAGTCTCTCTGTTTCACGCCGATGATCTTAGAGCAGGTTTTAACAATGCTGTTCAGGCTGTTCCTGTCTTTCAGTGTAAGGCTATGGAACCAGCAGATAAAAGAAAAACAAATACGGCTCTCAATGAATGCTTGGTAAAAACGACAAAGAATGAAAGGCCTGACAGAGAAAGAGTTCAGTTTGTGAAGAAGGTGCATTCTCTGTTGACCCCGCTTCACAACACACTCAGTATTCACATCAAAGTGTAGGTCATCGAAAATGGTGCCCAAGTATTTGTATGATGTGACAATTTCTACCTTGTCATTGTGTATGATGCACTCCTTAGGAACATCCTTGTGACGTCTAAAATCAATGATCAATTCCTGGGTTTTAGAGACATTTAAATCCAGAAAACTGTCGTCACACCAGGAAATAAAATCGGTAAGAGCACACTCGTGGCCTGATTCTGAGCCGCTAAGGAGGGACAAGAGGGCGGTATCATCAGAGAATTTAACAAAGTAGCTGTTGTCTTTCATGCTCCTGCATTTATCAGTGTACATTATAAAAAGTAGGGGCGACAGAACGCATCCTTGAGGCGAGCCCGTGGAAGTGATGACAGAGTCAGAGAGGCGTCCATTGACAGACACCTTCTGCTCTCTATTAGTTAGAAAGTTTAAAATCCATAAAACAAGTTGATCGGGCAGCTTACAATTACATAATAGGCTCTCCACCAGGAGATGCGGCTACATTGTGTTAAATGCTGAAGAAAAGTCAGCAAACAAAAGCCTGGCATGGGCTTGTGGCTTTTCAAGGTGTTTGTGGAGGGTGTGCAGTATAAGAAGCTTTGCCTCCTCTACGCCTCTCCCTGCCTGATATGCACATTGGAGTGGATCAAGTTCACCACCTACTACTGACATGACAAGGCCTTTTTTCAAACATTTTCATTACCAATGACGTTAAAGCCACGTTAAAGCCTCGTTTAGGACTTTAGGATGAGGTTTCTTAGGGATGGGAATTACAGTTGAGGATTTCCACATATCAGGAATTTGGCTATTCTCAAGTGACAGTTGGAAGATATGCTGGAAAACACCACAGAGTTCGCTAGCACAATACTGGAGTGTCCGCCCACAGATATGGTCAGGACCTGGGGCCTTCCTAATATTGACTCGTTTTAAGAGATTCCTAACATCATCCTGTTCAATGACTATGTCTGAGATAGGGGAGAGAGACTCTCTAAGGGTTGAGGTGTTTATGGAGAAATCATTTTTCTCGAATCGAGAATAAAAAATGTTAAAAGCATTGGGGAGGTCTGCCTCATTTGTTCCCTCAATGTTAATGGTATTCCTAGCCCTGTCATTGTTGTTACCCTGGGAGATGGAGGACATTGATTTGATTCCCCCCCAGGCTTCCCGAAGATCTCCACTGCTGTATTTGAGTTCCACCTTATAAGCTATTTTAGCTTTTCTTATCTCATTTCTTAATTCTCTGTTAATTTATTTTTTGTCCTGACTGTTTCCAGTATAAAATATACATTTCTTTCTATTTATAACACTCTTTAGTTCCTTCGTGACCCACGGCTTATTATTAGGGAAGACGGTAATGTCTTTACAAGGAATGTTAGACTCCACACAAAATGATATGTAGGATGAGACAGTTGACGTCAGTTCATTGAGATCAGAGCATGAGCTATAAAACACATCCCAATCCGTGCAGTCCAAACATGCCTGTAAGGTGGCAATGCTTTCCTCTGTCTCACAGGTTTTTTTGTGCACACTTGTTTCCTGCAGATGGGTTTGCAGATCGGCACCAGAAGAATGCTTGTGTGGTATGAAGCTCCAAAAGGGGGCATGGTCAGGGACTTGAACGCACCAGGCACCGTGTCGTAACATAAGTCAATAGTGGATTTATTTAAAGTTGTAGGACATGTGACATACTGCTCGTATGTTTTTAAGGTCTTATGCACCTGACAGTGATTAAAATCTCCTAAAATAAATGTAGGAGTATCGGGGGAGAGGGAGTCCAGTCTGTTAGTAACTTCCTCAATCAGCTGGGTGGCTGCTGAGGCGTTTTCCCGTATATAGGATATATATATATACAATATATACAAATACACAATACTGGACACAGACTATAAAGGGCACAAAGTTTCATTCACTAATGAAAGTTAAACACATGTTTGTTTCCACTGTTTTATTATGTGCCTGTCGCGATAAGCAATTCATTGACTTATCGTACGATAAATAAAATGAACTCGATAAATTGCCATTTACATGAGGATGTGACTAGCAGTTTGAAAGGATGTACTTGAATTATTATTATATATTATCATTATGTCAGTGGTCTAAAATGGTCATACAACAGTGCCGACAATATTATCATTTATCGCAATAATTTCCAGGAAAATGTATCCAACACAATTAATTATCGTGAGAGGCCTATACATGAAACACACACACACAAACAAATCTACAGACTTACAGACAGAGGTGTAAGCACGTGGACATAAAGTACCACTTCATAAGATCAACTGTAAAGGATGGGAAACTAACTCTGGTGTACTGCCCTACTGAAGAGATGGTGGCAGACATCATGACAAAACCTGTAACTAAGCTGAAACTGAAGAAGTTTGCAGGAATCGTTTTTGGAGTTTAAAAATGTGTGAGGAGGACCACATTTTCATTTTGTTTACATGTTTGGAGTACAGCAACCTGAGAACAAGTGGGGGTGTTAAAGGAAATGTTTACATATGTCCTCAGTTATTGTATGTATAGACTAGAGATTGTGTCTATTCTGTACTATAGGGATGCAATACTGTTATTGTACCAGTGTGAGGCACTGTAGTATTACGTGCTACGTAATGACCAGTCTTGCGTCATGTAAATGAGGGTGTGTTCACCTGATACACGTGTACACTGTCTATGTTTGTTCTCTTCTAAGTTAGCTCGGCTGAGCGAAGGAATCACCTGTGAAGCAGAGGAATAAATCATGCTCAAGGGCTAAACAGTTCATCGTCTCCGTCTCCAATATTTCTCTCCGAGTGCAGCGTAAGAAGCTGCCATCCTAAACCTCAACACAGTTTCTGTTGGAATGTGAAGGGTTAAATGAAAGAAGCCCCTCTCTGCGAGTCTGTGAAGAGAGGAGCTGTTGGACGTCCAGGCGGTCCAGCTATGAATTCACAGAGGGCCAGCTATAGTAACTAAAACGAGAGAGTAATGTCAAATGACAGTACAATTGACCAATCATATCTTCCCTCTAAATGGGTGGGTGTTATTATCGCGGACTTTATGACAAGTTCCGCCCGCTGTGCAACTTTTCTTGTTTCCATAGCAACAACAACTTCCTGTCAACAGCGTTAACTCACCTTCAAAATAAAAGCATGCCAAATTACACTTAAGACATACAACTGCAACGAAAGTAACAAACACAATGCAATATCCTTTTCAATTTCAAAGAACACAAATAGGGTTATTTACAGGTGTTGTTTTGTGTGGTAGAGGGTCGCTTTCACTGATGCGTTTTGCACCCCGGGCCGTTGTTTTGATATTCCGCTGAAGTATACACTGCGGTGACATAATAACTCGAGGGAAGGGGTGGGGTCAGAGGGCCTAGGTATAAAAGTCACGGTTCGCCACTGCAAATAGCCAATCACACAAAAAACATGTTGCTGTGACTGTGAGCATTAAACAATTAACATTAAACTAAACAAACACAACAGTACGTTATTGTCCTTATAAAATAAAAACATACATTTTGTAGAACCGACATAATACAGGCACCTTACCCTCAAGAGATCCTCACGTGCTATGAGAATCTCCCACAATCCATTGCCGTAACAAAGCTAATGCAGGCATACGTTTGTGACACTAGATGGCGCAATTGTGTATGTGCGTGTGGGGAGTCTTGCAGTAGAAAATTCGACTGTCGCGCCGCCGTGGGCTAAGCCCCGAATGTATCCAGGTCCAGGTGACGCCCCTGCAGCCCTATTCCGGGTTGGCGATACAAGCGAAACTCATCCTGAGCACACACAAACACTCACAGCCGAAGTAAAAACAATAAGTGTGGCTTGATATTGAGTAAGAAAAAGGTTTATAACGCTGTGAGAATGGGTTTGCGGAGAGCATTTCTCCACGATCCCAACTTAGCAACCAGAAAAACGTTTAGCCA